TTATTATATATATATATATATATATATATATATAATATATTTTATATATGTATATAAAAAAAGGATCGTCTCATTTAAAAAAATATTGAAAAATACAGTTGTAGAATATTTAGAAAAAATTATTATCAAAACACAGAAAAATTCGCTCAAAACTCATTATCGGAAAGATGCAATTAAATTCTTCTATCATAACAAAATTCTTTCTCTCGTGCTATTGTTCCATCGATTATAGGTTTCATGATAGTTTTCGATAAAGATATTTTCGTAAAATAACGAACGATTAATAACGAATAAACGACAGTAGAGGTATTTATCTTTTTCTGTTTTTTCTTTTTTTGTTCATTTTTCAATGTTAACGAATCGTTCGAGGATCGAAAGTTCCGACATGAAACGCAAGCGACCGTTGTTTTTCCGTTTCTATCCGACTGTTAACGGACAATGGACTTCCTCGTATTGGCATTTTCAGACTTATTCACGTGACCAGGCGTAGAAATAGCGCGCTCATGGCTGTTTCTAGACGAGTCGACGTGAAAATGAGCCTATTCCGTTTTTTCATTTTCCACTATCCTCCATGCTATTTTTCACCCATTTTTTAAACGCGAATGTTCCTTTTTTAATTTCATTCCATCCTTATCCCACCTTTCATCCTCTTTTATCTATTGTTCTTTTTCTTAACAAGCTTTCTTTTAGTCTTATATCATAATTATATATATAATCTTCTCCTTTTTTCTAATCTTTTATTCATGTTTTACAGATTATTTTTTTTTATTTATTATTATTTTCTTCTTCTTCTTCTTCTTCTTCTTCTTTCTCGTTTCTCTACTTTTTTCCTCTTTTTTTCAACTTCGCTGAGAACATATTTCTCACTTTTTTTTCATTTCTTATTTCTCAATCATTCCTGAAATACATCATGTAATTATTCCAAGTCTATTCTCGTGTCATTGAAAATTCGCAAGAATTTTATATTTTCATTCAGTTTTACCTGTTTAAAAGTATTATGCGATATCGCGTTCCAAAATAATCAGTTCGTTCAAAACTAGTCAAATGATTATTACAGATATACCATTCGGCTTGCCTTTGTTCTCGATACAGATAAAAAAAGAACGAGCGAAGAGTTTGAAATAGCAACAAATTATAAAATGATTGACGGAGCAATATTAATTATTTTTTTGAAAAGAATAGAATGATATATCATTTCGTTCTATTATTAAACAATTTTTCTTCTTCGTTTCTCGTTTTCACGAATAAGAAATATTTCGATTTCAAAAAAGAAACGGAGATCTTGAATTAGACGATTATCGCTTATCTCGGAATAATACTCGCATATACATTTATAGAAACAAGAAAATTTAGATAATTTGATAATTCTGATTTTAATGAAATTTTATTTGATTTTAAAATTTTCTAAGCAAAATTGTATTCGAAACATATTGGAAATTTTGGAAATTAATTTCATCCTCAGATATTTTGTAAAAAAAAAAAAAAATAATACATATATATATATATAACTTTAGAAAGAAAAGTTTAAATTAAGTGTTGGAAATTATTCGCGCAAATTTAGAAAAATTGAAAATTTTTTTTAAAAAAAGAGAATAACAATGTTTTATTGGCTAACCCAAACATATATACATATATTTTGGTACTTGGAGAAATTAAAATTAACAAATTCGTTATATTTGATCTTCTCTTCATTCGATGAAATAAACAACAAACATTGGACAATAACAAACATATTCAAATGCATGGAAATCGTACGGAGAACCGCTTTAAAGCAATTTAATCAAGTTTAATCCGTCCATACCCTCGACATCATAGTTTGAGATGAAAGTCGATCAGAGACGTTTAGTCCAACCAGTGCCTCCGGAATCAATAAACGTGCTGTACGTGCGTATTATGCTTGGAATATTGGAATTCGCAACCTGCTAGTTTATCGTTAATAAGAATTTTTTTTTAACATTATCTTTTTTTACTCAAATTTTGGTTAAAACGACAGCACGGATAAAGAAAAATAGAATAAAATAAATTTTATCAAAATTAAAACAATTTTTTTAGTAAATTAAGAAACGCAGTCAGAAAGTAATAGGGGGATGGAGAGAATAACTTTGAAATAAAATATTAAAAATTGAAAAATATTTTCACAAATAAATGTTATTTAAAGATAGCATTTCTACTTTTAACCGTAGCATGATACGCGCTTCACTGACCAAACAAGTTGAAAATTTGGATGAAACGAGGGGGAGGGGGAGGAGGGGGAGAGAAAAATCCTGAAATCTCTTCTCAAACTTTCTAATCTTCCCCAATGTTTTGAAATACTTGAAATAAATATTTGAAATTTTTATCATTTTCTATGTACTTTTTTTTATTAAAAATAAGATAAATCACATTTTAAATTCTCAAAAAGCGCAAAGTATTTTGTAACAATTTTATTTAAAGTATTAAAAAATATTATAAAACTTTAAATGTTTCGATATATTTTTAAGATGAAATATTTTAATATATCGAATAAAACAAAATAATATTAGAAAAATATTACTATATATTTGAAAAGTAATATTATTTGTTACATATTTGTTAAATTCTCATTTAAGATAGGAAATTTTATTTCATATTCAAACCTCAAGGAATTCTCCTAAAATGACTATATATCTATCTACATATGTATATATGCGCACAGTAATTTGGCGGTTCGATTATGTAATAGAACATCAAAGTCAATAATTACTCTTAAGAGCTATTCATACCTCAAGAGTCTTATCCAAGTTCCTTACTATTGATTCTATCTATTCAGGACATAGCGAACGTATACAGGGTGTCTTAAAAATGTTGGAATATCTGTAAAATGGAGATTCCTGGGGTAATTTCAAACAACATATTTTCCTTTACAAAAATTTTCATTACGACTTTGTTAATTGAAAGTTTGTTAACAAAAAAACATTGGCCAATCACGAACTGCGCAGTTTAATCGACAGCATTACGAACAAATCGGAGCAACATATCTTGAAGAAAATGTTGAATATTATATTTATTTATTTATTTATTTATTCATCGTTGGTGATATAATTTTGCGATATAATTTTTTATCGGTAAAAAAATATTTGTTATATTTAACACATTTTCATATTAATATCATTGAATTTATTTCGACACGACGAAAAAATGTTCATAGTTATCAAACTATGAGAACTATTCACCAAGATTTTACCATTTAAAAAGTTTTATAACAAAAAATATAAATAGTAAATAGTAAATAGTAAATAGTAAATAAATATATAAATAGTAATTCTTTAAATCAGAAGAATATGATATATATGATACAATGTATTATATTAATAGTTCTGAGATTAAATATACTTAGCTAGAATCAGTTTATATTAAATAATAATTAAAAAATTTCGTTTAACACGATATTAAAATTTACATTAATGTTTGTCGGAACTAAATCTTTAAATTTTTTTCTCAAGGTTTTGATAGACTTAATGAACTTTTAAAGTTGAGACTAAAGATTTTAGTCACTTTAACATAAGGTTGTTCCGACATGTCATCTTGCCATGCTCTTCGCTGTGACTCTTAAGAAGTTGAGAAAACGAAGCAGAGCATGATAATAAGACAGTTTGTCAGAATGGACCGACTAATTAAACATGTAAGCGAAACGAAAATAAAAATGCAAAATAAGATAAAGAATTAAGAGAAAATAATAAAAATAATTTAATTAATTCACAGTTTGCTTTTTCTAAATTATTCGTTACTCGCAAATATATATAATTATATATTCGTTATATTATTTTTCATATTTATTATATTACATTGTACAGCAATATATCCGATTTTATAAACTTTGATAGATCTTTCTCATAGATTCTAACGTGCTGAATATGAATATGTAAATCTAGTATTTTTCTAAAATTCATAGTTATCGAAAATTTGTGATTTCAAAACAAAAAATTCAACTTTTTAATCTTGCAAATACTTGATAATTATTCAATTACTCAATACGTACATATAATTAACGGCAATTAAGTTAAACAAAATAAAATATTTATCTTTAATTCATAGAAAATAAATAATATGTATTTTATATAATAGAATTATATTTTTAATCGAAATAGATCACAAATTCGTTATATATATATATATATAAAATATCTAATATAAATGAACATTTCAATATTTTATACATATAGATATTGCTAAACAAAATAACAATGAAAAATTTTCTTTTCTTTTCTATTTAAATTAAATTAATGAAAAAATATAAAAATAAAATAATCGTGGATACACATATAAATTATGTTTCAATAAAAGATAAAAAAGGAGAGAAAAGAGAAAACGAATAAATCAATTAGAAAAATAAATTGAACGTATATCAATGTGCGTATATATAGTATATGTATAAAGATGAAATTCAATTCGTTTGGAAAGAAAAAATTAAGAAGAAAGAAAATTGTTAAGAAACAAAAAAACATAAAGATAAAGGATATGAAATAGAGATATATTAAAAAGAAATATCGGTTTTACGTAACAATTGTTAGATTGGTTGTTAGATCAAGTTTCGAAAAGTTCCAAGGAAGTGTAAGATGTATCGTAAAAGCTCCTATTCTCTAAAGGGCAAGTTAGAGATATATAACGCCTAAAAAAATTCAAAAAGAAATCGAGTACTTTTTCTTGTTTCGTCTCGTCAAAAAATGTAACATGTTATTATTTATATACATAAAATAAAAATTGATTCGATAATGAAAAAAAAAAAATAGACAATTTAATTATAAAAATAATAATATGGTAATGATATCAACATATAGCAATGACAATATGTTATCAAGAAATAGATTAAAAAAAATTTTTATCAATCTTATTAATTATGTTTTTTTATTCGCAATTATTAAAAATATTAAAAACTTGAAATTATCTTATAAAAAAATAAATAATAAAACATTGCGATGAAAATATATATAAAAATATATATCGAAATATTTCTGGCTTCAAATTCAAATTTACAATATTTCAAATAATTTGTTTATTTTGTTTATTTAAAAATATTTAAAAATAAATTTCATTGCAAAATTGGCACAATTTATATGAAAAAGCTTTTTTATCATTATTTCATTATATATATTATATATACGTATATACTTATTTTTTGAAAAAAAAATTATAAATTATAAATTATAAATTATCGAAATTTTTGATAAGTATAGGAATATATTATTGATTCATAGAATCAGCTCTGAAATCATCAATTCTACAAGATTTTGACCCATAAAAAAATCTTTCAAATTGATCTTTCATGTCCCATGAATAAATCCTCTATATCATTATTATTATTATACATTATTACATTTATTTATAGGTTGTTCGAAGAAAATGAAGAATTAGTACAAATGTTCTCACGATTTTTGGATTTAAAATCGAAAGAAGAACGATTCGATATGGTAGAATTAGGAAAACATGCAGAAAAAGTAATGGGTGCTCTAGATGAAGGTATCAGAGGCCTCGACAACATGGATGATTTTCTGACATGCCTTCATCAAGTCGGAGCCACGCATACGAAGATTCCTGACTTCAATCCACAATATTTTTGGGTAAGTTTGCAAAAAAAAATTGTTAAGTCAATGACAATTCTTTTTTCTGTTTCTTCCGTGTTTTTCAATTCTCTGAAAATATCAAATGTCATTTTATATAGTTTTTAATTCATTCTATCGTAACATCGGCAGATTACATATAGATCGCAGAGTTGGACACTGAATCCCTTGTAAAAAGTAATTAGTTAAAATTTCGAATAAAGTTACTTTAAATATAATAATTCATATTAAAACGGTTGAATAAAATTTATTCGTAATTATATTATAGATGATTATATCGCTCTTCGATAAAATCTCGGCCATTTGGCACTACATTTATTCGATATTTATATGCGTATATTTTGAAAAATAAATTATCGAAACGACTTATTCAAGTAACTTTATTCTTGAATCATTAAAATTTTGCCCATCTCTAGATAGACTGTAGGTGATTTCGGAAGTTGGGAGAAAGGGAAAAACGAATTCCGTTCGTTGCTGAAAATAAGTCTCGTGGAAACAAAGCTGGAAAGATGCACGGTATGCATGTTCCGCATATTCACGTTGAACGGTATAAATCGCACGATATGTTAAATTATATCGGTATATTTTATAATTACAAAAAATGCAATCATTATCTTAATATTACGCATAACGGCTATATCGAATAAAATATTGGAAACAGTATAACACGAATAATTTATTAAATATTCGAGATAGCGAAGAATAGAGGAGATAATGGAATAAATTTAATCAATCATTACTGTATATTATATCAATAAATGCATAAACATCCGAAATTTATTCATGATAAATTAGCTCTAGAACACGAAAATCTTGACAAAATGTCTCTCATATTTCGATCAATTTTATTTTTCAGAAAATCGAGCAACCGTTTCTAGAGGCTGTGAAACGAACTTTAGAAGATCGATATTCGGAAAATGTGGAGAGCACTTACAAAGTGACGATCAAATTTATCATCGAGACGTTGATCGACGGATTCGATAAGGCACAGAACGACAAGGCACAAAGTGGCACCGCTAAATCCTAGTCGTCTTAATCAATAAAGAGTACTCCTTCCTCCC